TACCTAAACCGTCTCCTTGATATCTTTTTGTAGGTGTGCTTGAAGGCTTCGAGTACCTCTTGGTATCTCGATAGCGGATGCTCCAAGCACATGACCGGAGACGCATCCAAATTTAGGAGTTTAGAGTATTTCAAAGGTGGCAATGTCGTTTTTGGTGACAACAACAAAGGAAGAATCATTGGAAGTGGCACCGTCGGGAAGGACAATGCTACAACCATTGAGAACGTTCTTCTTGTTGAGGGCCTCAAGCACAACCTTCTTAGCATTATCCAATTGTGCGATAGAGGTAACCGTGTCATCTTTGATTCTAGTAAATGAATTGTAGAACGCTTGTGTGACAATAAGACTTTTCTTTGTGGTAGTAGAGTAGATAACATTTACATGTTTGATCTTGAAAATTCCCTGTCTATCTTAGCTAAGTGCCTCATTACCAAAGAGGAAGAAACGTGGCTATGACATCGTCGGATAGCTCACGTTAATATGGACCATCTTAATAAGTTGGTTTCTAAAGACTTAGTAATTGGTGTTCCTAAACTTAAGTTTGAGAAGAATCTAATTTTTGATGCATGTCAAAAGGGGAAGCAAGTAAGGGCCTCGTTTAAGTCTAAGAACATTGTTTCTACGACTAGGCCATTACAACTTTTGCACATGGACCTTCAAGAACTATGAGTTTAGGAGGTAATTACTTTGGCTTTGTTATCGTTGATGACTATTCGAGGTTTACATGGACACTTTTTCTAGCTCATAAGTATGATGCACTTAATGCTTTTAAGAAATTTATCAAATTGGTTCAAAATGAAAAAGATTGTCACATTTCATCCATTAAAAGTGATCATGGGGGAGAATTCGATCAAGATGGCTTTGACGCCTTATGTGACGAATTAGGCATTGACCATAGCTTCTCGGCCCCCCGTACACCACAACAAAATGGCGTGGTTGAACGGAAAAATAGGTCTCTTGAAGAGATGGCTAGAACTATGCTCAATGAGGCTAGCCTTCCTAAATATTTTTGGGCGGATGCCGTGAGTACCGCGTGCTACGTGTTAAACCGAGCCGTCATTAGACCGATACTCAAGAAAACGCCCTACGAACTTTACAAAGGAAGAAAGTGGTGAGATACAAAGTCTAGAGGGGGGGGGGGTGAATAGACTTTGTTACAATTTTAAAATTTTTTCGTTTATTTTGAAAACGTGAAAATAGTGTAAGTCTAGAGTTCTTGGGAACTTTAGATTGTGTGCGGAATTTGGTGGGTAGTATGAGCAGTAATCAATATGGATGGGTTAGTTTTCATAGTTAATATAATTGCAAGTAAGAGTAAAGATAAAAGAGAGAGACACGCAAACTTTAACGAGGTTCGAAGGTGGGGTAATTCTTCTACGTCCTCAAAATCCACTATGTAGTTGGTTGTTGAATAATGAACCAACAATTACACTTGTGTGAATTTCTGCACGGTATATCTTCGCACGGCCAAAGTTGCTACTGCACTCGTGCTGGCTTTGTTGTTCCTTCGAAGGTCACGCTTCTTCAACAACTGCAAGATCCGAACAATAGGACCTGCAAGATCAACTTGTGAGAAAGTTGATCTACCCCCTTTAAATCAAGAAGTTTGATCAAAAGTTATATCCTTCAACGTGGTGTGGTACTTGAGGCAAGGAAACCTTCAACTGTTTACACTATAGCTCTTTGGAAGGAGGAGAAGTTTGCTTCTGGATAAGGAGTTTTAGAAATCTCTCTTTATCAAGCTTTTTGGGCTAACTGTGAATGAGATAGCTTTGTTATTAGAGATTGCTTCGTTGTGTTCGTCTATCTCGTTATATCTTCTCCAGTCTTCCAAGGTTGCTATTTATAGCTGGATTGGATAATCTATCCGTTGAATCAAAATAGACTATCCGTTGCATTTGCTGGCTTCAAGTTTGAATGAATATTATGATTGAGGATTCCTCATTGGAGTGGGTGTTTGGACATACCCAATTGTTTGAGGAGGGATTCCTTTTTCCACAAAATCTGTCTTCTAGCTGTTGTTCAAGAATTCTGGACTGTAGCACTTTACTCAGTTTGTCTTCTAGTGCTTGTTTAGGAATTCTGGACGAGCTCTTTAATTTGAGGGGTCAACACTTTGTCTTTAAGTCATTTGTTCTTGAATCAGCTTAATTATCTTCAATCTAGCCGTTGAAAATCAAGAGATTGATTTTTCCTTACCAACGGGTAGAATTTCTTCATTCAAGACTTAGAATTTTTTCTAAGTCTTTTCTCACTTGTCCGCTTCTGAGAGTTCCGATCTTTTCTTGAGGCATCCGGTTCTTTTGCTGACAAATCCGGAAGAGTCATTCACAGACTTCCGGGTGAGAAAGTGATCCGCGCTAGTCTTCCGATATGAATGACTTAGCCTTCAGCGGGTTGTAGCGAGACATCCGGTTATCATGTAGTGTTCCGGATTAGAGGATCTTCATCTGCTTTGAGAAATCCTTACTTGTCTCTGATATTTCCGATCAAGATATCCAATTTCCATATCACAGAATTTGATTAAGTCTTCAAGCATCAAACCACTTAAAGAATTATCACAACTTTATTGGAAATCTCAAGAACTCGGTTTTAACAATATTTCTAAAAAGAAAAATTACATTGAATATTGGGGGAGGCCTAAAGTCCCTATTACAATCTAAATACATCATCTCAAGTCTTGTCTTGAGATTTGTGATATTTTCTGCCATTTGCCGCTTTCACTTCCAGCAGATTTTGCTTGGTAGTACAGATGGCGGTGCGTTTGATAGATCTTTAATATTCAAAGTGGATATTTGAGATCTTGAAACCAACATCTCTCCAAAAAGCAAAAACAAGAACAAAAAGAAAGTGGAGGGAAAGGAGGCGGCGGTGGAAGAAAAGAAAAAGGCAGAATGACAAGAAAAAGGTTTTGGAAAAGAGAATTGATTGAAAAAATAAAATAAGGTTTTAAAAAAATTTTTGAGAAAGTAAATTAAAAAAATGCTTGAGTAAAGGGTGTAGAGACTGCACAAATAAAAGAAAGAGAGAAATTTTTTAAAAAGAATTAGAAGAAACAAAGATGGAGAGAGTGTTGTTTCCAGAGAAGGTGTATGGTGTAATCCTGAAAAATACGAGATTTTCACCACAGACCTTCTCTACTGCCGAGATTCTCACCATAGACCTTGAAAGTCTTTTCTTCTCATTAGGCTTTCTCCATTGCCGTCTATGAGGGTGAGAAAGAAAAATTTCTCCATTGAGGATATTTTTCTTGCCGTGTTTCTCAGACAGTGAGTTTGAAGACTTTTCATATTGAGAGAGTTGTTTGTGATATGAATGGATTATGATGTCTTGATTTAAATAGGAGAGGAGGTAGAGAGAGGAGAGGTTCACGGGTTCCACTAATTGGGTAGTTGGAATGGTGAGAGTAAAAGAGTTTCAACTTCCAAGAAGTTGAAAAGTGGAAGGAATCTTTTACCAGTTACCAATGTGTTGAAACTGTTCAAATTTAAAAATCAGTTTCGTTTGGTTTGAAAAGTGTAACTGTTTTGGTTTGGCTAAGCCCAAAAGAGTGGCCCAAAAAATATATATCTATGTACTAAAGGGAAATTATTCCTATTGGGTTCTCAAGGCCCAAAATAAAACTATCATTTTCATTCCCTATAGTTCTAATTTCTAAATAGGATGAGGTAGTACGAAAAAAAATTTGTAACTTATTTTAAATGAAAAAGTGGTACTATTTTTCCAAAGTCCTGTACATTATGAAAATCCTAAGGACCAGTACTTAAGAGCAAAGTTGGAAATCAACTAAGGGTTAAATCTCAGTTTTAAGAAAGCAGATTTTGTAAAGTACCTGAATTGGAGATCTCCAACTTTAGTACTTAAACCGAGGTATCCGGCTTCTGTTGCTTAGAGTTTATCAATAGTTCATTGCCAAAAACAATTGAAGCAATTGTTAGCCAAAAACAGTTAAGTTCCCCCTGAATTATATTCCCCCTGAATGTATGCGCTCAGGAATAAATCTCAAGAATCACACTCAAAGTAAATATGATCAAGCAAAATAAGCGTAATTAAGAGAACTATTAAGCAATGTTTAAACTAAAACTCATGTTTAAACAAGAAGGTGTTTTCATCAAAACCAATTAAGGTTTTCACATACTTCCCCCTGGTTTGATGAAAAAAAACCTTCACTGATTCCTGCGCTTTGATGATCCGGCAATCTCACTAATGCCTTGCATGTTTCCAAACAGTTCTTTAATGTGCCTTATGTTGTTGCGTCTCTCCTCTGTTTGGGCATCATTTGAGAAATGGGAGACAATGGTTCCAACAGCCTATGTTCCATCCAGTCCTGAGCTAGATAGATGTTGTGCTGAGTTCTCCGGATTATTTCTCTGAGCTTCGAGGATCAGGTCAGTCATGTTCAGATGCGAAGGAATATAAGAGACTTCTCCTGCAATAGGGAGCTCTGGAATCAAGGATGGACTGTGTTGTTGAAGAATCACTTCCATCTTGCGGTTGCCAGAGCTTGTGCTAAAGTGTCTGAACAGTCTGTGTGCTTCCTTCTGATTGTCAATAATAACCTTCAAGTAGTCTTTGGTTACTACCTGATTTGCTGAAGACACTGCTAGGGCTGATCTGATGTCCATTTGGAGAAGGGACATATGCTTCTGTAGACTAACTGTGACATTTGCTATTTGCTCTCTGATTTTATTGACTTCTTTGAGTTGAAGATAACTGTCAGATGCATATGTCTCCATTGTGTCGCTCACAGAGTTACTCAATAGAGAGATGATCTCTAGAGTCTTGTGCACTGTCTTGCTTATCTCCTTGAGATCTGAGCTGTGTTTCTCTTCAGATTTCTCAATCAGCTTGTTGTGCTTGGCTTCCATTTGCTCTATCTCTTGCCTAAAGGAGGCATGCTGGGATGTTAGGGCTGATTCAATCAACCCTTGGACCTTCTTTGTCCAGGTTTCCGGTACTTCATCCGGAAGTGCAGGAATGGAAGAGCTATGGAAATGAAAGTTGGTTACCTGATGAGAAGAGGATGTTCTTTGGAAGAGTTGCATAGGAAAAGATTCAGCATCTTCTTGCACATCTTCTTCATCATTGATCCTCAGCGTCCTTTTAGATTCTTCCTCTGCTTCATCAAGTATGAAATTTGATATATCCCTAGAGAGGGAGTCTCTTTCTTCACCTTCATTCTGCTCTTCAAAAACAGCTACTAGAGTTTCAGGGGCCTCCAGTGTTGCCATTTGAACTTGCTTTTCAGCTTCTGTAGAATTCCTTTGGATTTCTACAGCTTGCTCCTCTTGGACTTCAGTTGTTTCTGGAGGAGTGGACTACTCCAGAATTTTTCCTGACTTCTCCGGGATCTCAAGTTCAAGCTGGTTCGAGATCTCACAAGGAGTTGTGCGAATCTCAAGGACTTGAGATTTGAGAGGTTGCTGAATTTCTTCTTCTGATGCTTCTTGGTTCTGTTCTAGTGGAGTAGAGGCTGTATTCTCTTGGTCAGCTTCAGGTAGAACCGTTAAAAAGGCAGGTGAGGTTTCCGGAAAGATTGGGAAATCCTCAGCTGTTTCTTCCAAATCAGCCTGTGCTTCAAAAGTTGGAATCATCTGATCTTCTATGGCTTTTGAGAAGATCGGCTTGTAGACTGAAAGATCTTCATCATTCACTTCAAATTCTGAAATTGGTGTGGTGGCCAAGTGTTCCAGATGCAAGTCTTCATAGTTCCTTTGCCATACCCAGTCATCAACCAAGATTTGTTCACAGCTGCGGTTGACTGGCAGTCCCAAGCACTTCTTGATGATCTTTTCATTCTTCAATTGTTGATCCCATCCCAGCAACTGCTCTACTGAATTTCCAACCTTCCAAGTTCTCTAGTCATAGTAGAGCTGCCAGAATTGGTTTTCAGCATCATCTAAACCAAGAAACAAGATTTCCACCAATGAATTGACAAGTACCAGATGTACTTTTCCGGTCAACTTTGCATCCAGCAAAGTCAGAATCTGAGTATCCCACCAACTCAAATGTATTGCTCTTAGCATACCATAAACCCATGTTCTGAGTTCCTTTGAGGTATCTAAGAATCCTTTTAGCTGCTATCAGATGACTCTCCTTTGGCTTGGACTGGAATCTGGCGCAAACACCTACTGCATATGAGATATCCGGACGGCTTGCAGTAAGGTTGAGTAGAGATCCAACAATTCCTCTGTAGAGAGTTTGATCAACATCCTTTCCGTCTACATCCATATCAAGCTTGGTGGATGTACTCATGGGGACAGAAACGGATGACTTCTGATCAACTTTAAATTTCTTGATAAGATCCCTTGTGTACTTGGCTTGGTTAATGAGAGTCCCTTCACTTCTCTGTTTGATTTGAAGACCAAGGAAGTAGTTGAGTTCCCCCATCATGCTCATCTCAAATTTTCCTTGCATGAGGGTGGAGAACTTGGTGCAAAGATCTTCCTTAGTTGAGCCAAATATGATGTCGTCCACATAGATCTGGACCAATAAGAGATCTTCTCCATCTTGTAGTTTGAATAATGTCTTGTCAATGACTCCTTTGATGAATCCATTATCTATGAGAAATTGAGATAATGTATCATACCAAGCTCTTGGTGCTTGTTTGAGTCCATATAGCGCCTTTTTGAGTCTGTATACTTGATCACCTTTAGTGTGTAGCTCAAATCCTGGAGGTTGTTCCACATAAACTTCTTGTGTGAATTCCTACACGGTATATCTTCGCAAGGCCAAAGTTGCTACTACACTCGTGCTGGCTTTGTTGTTCCTTCGAAGGTCACGCTTCTTCAGCAACTGTAAGATCCGAACAATAGGACCTGCAAGATCAACTTGTGAGAAAGTTGATCTACCCCCTTTTAATCAAGAAGTTTGATCAAAAGTTATATCCTTCAACGTGGTGTGGTACTTGATGCAAGGAAACCTTCAACTGTTTACACTATAGCTCTTTGGAAGGAGGAGAAGTTTGCTTCTGGATAAGGAGTTTTAGAAATCTCTCTTTATCAAGCTTTTTGGGCTAACTGTGAATGAGATAGCTTTGTTATTAGAGATTGCTTCGTTGTGTTCGTCTATCTCGTTATATCTTCTCCAGTCTTCCAAGGTTGTTATTTATAGCTGGATTGGATAATCTATCCGTTGAATCAAAATAGACTATCCGTTGCATTTGCTGGCTTCAATTTTGAATGAAGATTGTGATTGAGGATTCCTCATTGGAGTGGGTGTTTGGACATACTCAATTGTTTGAGGAGGGATTCCTTTTTCCACAGAATCCGGCTTCTAGCTGTTGTTCAAGAATTCTGGACAGTAGCACTTTACTCAGTTTGTCTTCTAGTGCTTGTTTAGGAATTCTGGACGAGCTCTTTAATTTGAGGGGTCCAGACTTTGTCTTCAAGTCATTTGTTCTTGAATCAGCTTAATTATCTTCAATCTAGCCGTTGAAAATCAAGAGATTGATTTTTCCTTACCAACGGGTAGAATTTCTTCATTCAAGACTTAGAATTTTTTCTAAGTCTTTTCTCACTTGTCCGCTTCTGAGAGTTCCGATCTTTTCTTGAGGCATCCGGTTCTTTTGCTGACAAATCCGGAAGAGTCATTCACAGACTTCCGGGTGAGAAAGAGATCCGCACTAGTCTTCCGATATGAATGATTTAGCCTTCAGCGGGTTGTAGCGAGACATCCGGTTATCATGTAGTGTTCCAGATTAGAGGATATTCATCTGCTTTGAGAAATCCTTACTTGTCTCTGACATTTCCGATCAAGATATCCAATTTCCATATCACAGAATTTGATTAAGTCTTCAAGCATCAAACCACTTAAAGAAATATCACAACTTTATTGGAAATCTCAAGAACTCGGTTTTAACAATATTTCTAAAAAGAAAAATTACATTGAATATTGGGAGAGGCCTAAAGTCCCTATTACAATCTAAATACATCATCATCAAAATCTATAATATTTTCCCAACAGAAAGCCTAACCTTTCCTATTTTCATTTCTTTGGATGTAAAGTTTTTATTCATAATAATGGAAAAGATAACTTGGGAAAATTTGATGCTAAGTCGGATGAAGGAATTTTCTTAGGATATTCTCTTCGTAGTAAGGCATATAGAGTGTTCAACAAGCGTACTAAGACCGTAGAGGAGTCTATTCATGTTGTCTTTGATGAATTTGATGTTCGCTTGGCGAGAAAAGGTATTGTTGATAATGTTGCAGGTTCTTATGACGATGAAGAAGAAATCGTTAAGGAAAAGGAACCGGAAGAAGAGAAAATGCAGGAACAAACAGAGCTTCCTAAGGAATGGAGAACATTGAAGAACCACCCGATTGACAATGTCATTGGTGACATAACGCAGGGAGTTTCTACTCGTAATTCTCTTAGGAACACAATTAATCACATGGCCTTTGTTTCACAAATTGAACCAACAACCGTTTTGGATGCTATTAATGATGAACATTGGTCTATGGCAATGCAAGAGGAGCTTAACCAATTTAAACACAATGATGTTTGGGAATTGGTGCCTAGACCTAATGATCATT